AAGTCCATAGTGCCATGGCCTCCGCATTCCAATTGTTAGCATCGGCTAGCTAATGACGGCATGCTTGTGTCCAGTTCCACTCCACGGGGTCTTCAAGAGCTGCAGGAATTTCCAGGAAAGGACCTGGGACACCCCAGCAGCCTCCCTTTCACAGGAGCTGGCTAACACAGCTCCCGGGAAACCTCCTGCCTGGGCTGTGGTCAGGGACAGGCGAGGGGTAACAGCACTAATATCAGCTCAGCTGATTTTAAATTATAAAATTTAATGGCAATTCTACCATTACCAAAAATAAGGTGTTAGCAATGGTAAAAATGGTTTAGTTAAGAGTTTCCCTTTAACTAATACAGCTCTTGTATTGAAAAGCAGCCGAGTTGACCAGTGTAAATGCTGATGGTGTCGGTGCTGTTCCTGCGGCTGAAGGCAGCTGGGTGCCTGGCAGTGGTGACGGGATTACCAGCAGAAACATGAACTCACCAGCTTCACAGGCTGGACCGCATAGGCAAGCCTTCAGAAAAAACACCCAGTGCAAACATTAATGACCAGATCCGGCCCATTCATAGAAAGCAGAAAAAAAGTCTGTTCTCATATTGTTATGTTGGAGTTCCCCACACCAAGAGATGATGAAACCAAGGGTGTGAGCACTATTCAGGTGATTTAAGTTTACCGACACACAGGTGTTCCTTCTCACTGCAATTTTGACTCTTTCTTTGGCACATGCCAGTGAACCAAAAGAAGAGTCAACAGAAGGTTTCAGACAAAAATCCCAGTTATCCCAGCTTTTTCTGAAACACATTTAGAATAAATATAAAAATGCTAAACTATAGCAGGTGACACTATCAACATTGCTTAACATAACTGTTAACTTTGAAAAATTACAGCGGAAGTCTTCACTCAAAAAACTTTTCAATCTCTTTGAGTACCAAAACTTATGGGAATTGTTCCCTATGATTTCCCAAACCTAACAACATTTTGTTGAACATTTTCCAATGCTGGCAAGTAGAGGTAAACAAGGGATCTTGACTTCTAAAGCTCATTAACTAAAGTTCTTAACCTCAAAACGCAAGTAATTCCTCATTTCATCACATGAAGCTTCTCCGTGAGCATGAGTAACCCTAACAAACCAGGAAAGGAACTGTAAAGGCAGTGAAGAACTTCAAGGTTTTTCAGCAGGTTCTCTAGAGCTAAGCCTCCGTGGCAAGGGAGCTGGTAGTGCCAGAGCTGACGTAGTGACCACACCGGAACAGCAGACCACTGACACTGGAGTTATCAGAGGGTCAGAACGGCTAGTCCTGACCTAGGAGCATGCTGAGAGTGAAGAGCAGTGCACACAGGGACAGCCACTGCCAACCCCCGTGAAAGAAGCATGCTGGCCACTACCTTGGCAAGCAGGTCTGGCCACTGCATGCTGTGCTCCAGCTGTTTCCATCTGAACAGCAAAATTAAGGAAAAATCACTGAACAATCTCAGGAAGGTGGCAAAGGGACTCTTTCCAGCCTGTCTCTCCTCCCCATCCGAGCAGATGACCGTTGAGGTTAAATACATTGCTGTTCTACTGGACAACTGTAAGAGCACACTGTGAGCACGGAGCTACGTGGAAACACTACGGAAATTAACAAAGACGACTTCTGCATAAATGATTTTGAATGAGAAGGGGTCATTCATCTCACCAACTCTCTCCGCTTAAAACAACACGGCTAACAGTCTATTGCTAGTTATGCTTAAAATCAAAGGATTTGCACAGAATCACAAGAGAAAACATGTATGTTTAAGCTCTTGCATGTGACATTTACAATCATTGAGCTAGATGAACGTTCTTCAGTGTCAGATTTTTCTTGTTACTAAGGTCTTGCCATCATAGCATCTATGGAAAAAATGTGAGCATTATATTGCAACCCAACTAAGGCTGGTTATTTTTGCTTTTCTCTAATATGTTTTCTAATGAGGATAGTTCATCAATTAACTTGTATTTCCTGAGTCACCTGCTGTTTAAGGTTACAACCTTAGAAAAGTCTACTTTATCTAAAATAAATACAGCTCTTCATTCAGCATGTTGTATTTAAGGATGTACTTTCTATAAACTTCAGCAGTTGGCTATGCTAAGCATTCTAATGGTAAGAAAGCTGAACTAAGCCATGAGCTAGCTCTGGTTTACGATCTACTGCAGCAGGAAAGAAAGGTTCAGTTCAAAGTACATCAGCTTCACCTTTTACTGGAGT